TGGCCTGAGTCTGAGAATGTAACCACGGAGAGTTTGACCAGGAGGTTTCCCAGGGAAGAAGGGGAGAGGGAGAGGGAAAGGGAAAAGGAAGAGAGAGGAGTTTTAGTGGCACTGCTCAAACCAAGAACTTGCTGGCTTTCTATTTTCTCCACTAATGCTTGCCAGAGTTAGGCCTGGCAGTATAGGAGCCCATCCTCATTATTTAATAGAAGAAGAAATTGAGGCTCAGAGAACTGACAATGGCCAGGCCCAAGGCTGCATCACCAGGTCTACCTTGGGGTCTTGCCAAAAGCAAGCTGATGGACTGATGTCTGGTGATCCCATCTGTCCTCCAGACTGGACCTGGTTGGTCTCCTATTGGGCCTAGAGGTGCAGACTTCCTTCTTAAGATTACACAAGGGAGGCCTGGGGTAGACCAGTCCCCTCTGGGGAAATGTTAACTAATCAAATATTCACTAATGCTTCCAATCAAGCCCCTATAAAATGATGCCCAATATATTCATAAGAGGATATTATCTTAGTGGAAGTGTTGCTGGCCTCTGTCTAGTAGATGCCAGCAGTACCTTACCCCCATTGATGGCAACAAAATACATCTCCAGACATTGCTAAGTGTCCTCTGTGGGAAAAACAGAATAACCAACCCTGAGGACTTACTGAGCCTTTTCTTCTCTGCACAGATATATTCTGTTCACCAATAGTGAGTATGATGATCAAAACGTTTTTTTAAGCTCTAGACCCACAGTTTAAAATGATAGCCACATGTGATTATTGAGTACCTGGAGTGTGGCTAGTTAATAAATGCTTTCTATTAATTTACTTTTTAAAACAAAGCACTATAAAATGTATTTTCTTGTTGAACACAATTTTTCCCTTTAGGATTCTATTTCATTGCAATCATTCGCATGTAATGTCATTCCAACTGAGATATGGCATTCAGTATAAAATACCACATCTCACGGACTTAGTACAAAAATGGAGCATCGAGTATATTTGATTTCTAATCAGTTAATATTGATTGCATGTCCAAATGATAATACTTAGGCTATATGGGGTTAAAGAAAATAAACTGAAAAAGCAAACACACTACTATCAAGTTGATTCCAACTCATGGCGACCCTAAAGGACAGGTAGAATTACCCCTGTGGGTTTCCAAGACTGTAACTCTTTACTGAAATAGAAAGCCTCATTTTTCTCCCATGGAGTGGCTGGTGGTTTCGAACTGCTGACCTTGTTTTACACAGTCCAATAATCAGTATGCCACAAGGGCTGTTACAATTCCGTCCGCATGTCTGATTTTACTCTGGAAAGGGGACTAGGGGATTTTGAATTACATCATGCAGTTCGCATTCTACTTCTATTGGACAATGCTGTGCTAGAGTTTCTTCAGGGGTGATTTTGCCACTTGGGACATTTGGAAATGTCTGGAGTTTATATAGGGTCACTATGAGTTGGAATCAACTCAAGTGAGTTTATTGGTTTGTTTTGGAATTATGTTTGGGGGTCACAACTGGGGGACAAGGGACCAGAGGTAGCGGCTGAGGATGCTGTTAACCATCCACAAAGCAAACGATAGCCTTCCACAACAACAGAGTCTCCAATTCATAGGGCGAATGGCGCTGAGACTGAGAAACTGCGGTCTAGAGCCTGAAGGGAATGCTAATACAGAACTAGCTGGCGTGAGCGCTAGACCAAGAAGCTGGAGCTTGTTATGACCCTTAACTCTCCCCAGGAAGGATGGCCATGGGCAGTCATTTGCAGCCCTTCTCTCAAAGAGAACATGAGGCTCAGAGCAGAGGATGGTCTGCCCAGGACCCCTCGGCCAGGAAGCAGCAGAGCGCAGAGCTAAACTTGATTGTAGTGCCCCTATGCGCGGCAGTTCCCGCTACAGATCTCTGAGTCAGTGCTGATGGGAGCAGAGGATGTCTGTGCTTACAGCCTAAGATTCCCATCACTCAGAGCCAGGCAGTTATTATTTACATCAGCCATTATTGCTCCCAGGGGACAAGCATTAACAAAAAACACCCTTTGAAAGGGACGGCCTGCACGTGCAGAGGCATTCACAGGCACCTCACCCATCAAAGGAGGCAGAGGAGCATGTAGAAATAAATGAAACACAATGAAATAAACCTGTCAGAGGAGGAACATTCAGACGCCTCGGAAGGCAAGAGGTAAGAACAAATGGGCCTGATATGAGATTGGCTCTGTTTAAAGAAAACATTATCTGACTGCTCGACTTCAATAGAACCTGGAGAACAATGGCCTGCCAGAAACGGACCTGCTCACACAGACTCCCAATAAATTGGCCGTGGGCACAGCGGGGAGAGTCACTTTCCTCTGGATGTCACTGGCAGTCCATCGACAGTTGCCACCTGCCTTGGAGAAGGGTGAGGCTGGTGAGTCTGTGACAGGGTGGGCCAGGAGCTGGCACTTGGCAAAGACTTACGAAGCACTGATGATTAGGCAAGGTAGTGTCTAAGAGGATAGAATCCTATGTTTAACACAACTCTGGGGGTATAGTAGTTATAAGGTGTGTGAATTCAGTAGTTCGAAACCACTAGCCACTCCTGGGGGAGAGAGACGATGTCCCCTCCCTAAATAAGTACCCTCCGGCATATCCCCAGGAGGTTATGCATCTCTGGGGTACCACAAGTCAATGGCTGGCTGACTGGTGGTAGAAAAGGTTGGCCCCCAAGCTTTGAGGTGCAGTTTCTGCTCCAGAGGCAACTCATGGGCTCAGGGGAAAGCTATTTGTCTACCTTGCTTCCCTGCCCTGCCCTCCTTCCTCATTCTTTTCCCTGAGGACATGCTCAATGAAGCATTTGCCCTGGAGACCCGCCATCTCAGGCTCTGTAGCCAGGGGCCCTACCTAAGATAGTCATAACAGCGATGTGTTGTAGTTTGGAAAGTGAGTGGCCTGTGTGGGCTGAGAAGATGCTAGAAGGCTAGATTCAGGTCACCACTGTCTGCTGAATCCCCTTTCCCCAACGGAATCCTGACCAGTCAGGGCCCAGCAGAGAAGAGGCCGTGGTCTGGGCCCCTGGTCTTGAGAGGGCTGGCACTTGAAAATTTGGCATCTTCAAGTAAGGTCCCAGTGACCAGGAAGGCCCTAGTCCTGTGCTCTCTAGATTAACAGGTTGGTTTTTTTAAAAAATCATTTTATTGGGGGCTCGTATAACTCTTATCACAATCCATACATCTATCCATTGTGTCAAGCACACTTGTACATTTATTACCATTATCATTTTCAAAACATTTTCTTTCTACTTGAGCCCTTGGTATCAGCTCCTCATTTTCCCTCCCTCCCCCACCATTCCTCCTCATGAACCCTTGATAACTTATAAATTATTATTTTTTTTCATGTCTTACACTAACTGATGTCTGCCTTCACCCACTTTTCTGTTGTCCATCCCCCTAGGAGGGGATTATAGGTAGATCATTGTGAATGGTTCCCCTTATCTCCCCCCAACTTCCCATTCCCCTCGTGGTATGGCTACTCTCAATATTGGTCCTGAGGGGGTGATCTGTCCTGGATTCCAACAGGGTTTCTTTAGACCCAAGTAAGTGATAGGCACTGTGGTGGTTACATAATCGGTGTCAACTTGAGACTATTAGGAGCGAAGGGGTGGAGCCTAGTCTGTCAATCAGATTGCAGTTTGATGACTTCATTTGGAGTCATGAAGGAGATAAATATCTCACTGGAGGCCATATACACACACACTCTCTACTCCTCTCCCTGTGAGAAATTCCTGCTGACAAGTCACATGGAGCTATGCTGATGGCAGCCAGAATCTTGGAGCTGGAGGACTCACGTGGAGACCTGCACTGGCACTAAAAATGCTTCTACTGCCACTGGATCCACAAGACTTTCCACTACTGGCCTGTGATCTTCTTGCACTCAGCATCATTGCATGTGTTATGTGAGTCTGAAGAGGAATTTATACACTGTATCAGATATATGAACTAATATCAGACTTATGGACTTAATCTGGTTTAGGCTGGGGAGTTTTCTTATTGTACAATTACTCTCTGATATACTCTCTGATGTAAAGTTCTCCATTACACACATTACACACACTGTTCGACAAAATGGATGTATGTATGAATTGTGATAAGAGCTGTAAGAGCCCCCAATTTAAAAAAAAAAAAAAGAGTGTCTATGAATTTGTTTCTCTAGTCTACCCAGACTGACGCAGGCATTGACTTCTGACAGGGCTGGCTCTGCACCTGTGCATGACTACAGACAGCTGCAGGAGATGAGATGATGCATCTGCAGTATGCTCTAGAAAAGGGCTGGTGTGCATGCAACATGTGCTGCCTCTAGGCGAGGCACCCCACCCCCCAAGCCACTTTCACATTCATGACCTTGCTGCAGCTCAGAACACACTGGATCCACCCCCCACCCCCACACAGGACTTAGGGGTACAGGGTCTGCTGTGAAAATGGTGCCCTTAAGAGGCAAGCATTTTTCGTCCTATTTAGCAGGCAGGAAAATCGGGGCTCATCCAGTTTAAGGGACTTATCTATGGCCCATGGCAGACCTGAGATCATCTGGTCATTTGCTCAGCTCTCACGTGTTGGGCCAACTTCATTCCCAACCCCTGATCACAGCTTCATTGTCACTGGACCCGCCCTTAGCCCCCGAATGTCTTCTTTGAACACTGCACATCTCTCCTTAGTAACACTTCTCAAAGAGGTGGTTGCACAATTGTTTGGGTAGCTCTTTAACGAATGGCTCCTTCCTCTCCTGGAAAGATGGAGGAGTATGCTTGCTTTTGGTCATCACTGGCTCCTTCAGTGCCCAGCATGTGGTAGCCAGTGCTGAGTAAGCATCAGTAGGAGGGAGAGATGGCTGGCTGGCTGGATAGATATGTGAGTAGATGGCTGGGTGAATGGGTGGGTGGTGGGATAGAGGGACTGCATTCCTCGCTGGTGCACTTGGCCTGGAGGACCTGCTGAGCATGGGTCACTCTCCTCCCCCCTCCCACCCGCCTGGTGATCACCTGTGGTGAGGAGGCAGAGTGGAGTCCCCGGGGTCACCTGGGCGCTGCCCATTGGTTCTGACCACAAGGAAGCCAGTCCCCAGGCAGCATGCAGAAGAGAAGGAGAGAGAGAGAAACATACATGAACACGTGTGGCACAGTGAACAAAACTACAGTTTCTTGTGGCTCTGAAGAGCACACACTCAATAGCAAAAGAATATCATCATCTCACAAAACAGGGCCGGAAATAGACTTCATTTTTTAAAAAAAGGAACAAGAGTAAGAGTCACCATTTATCAAGCACCCATGCCATGCCACGTGCTATGCCGGGTGCCTCCCTGACAGTGTTCCTAAGACTTAGAACAACCCCCTGAAAGGTCAGCATTGTAATAAATGAACCTGTTCTCTTTCCACCCAAACGTCCTCTCCCCCAGTCTTCTCCCTTTTTAGTAAGTGGTACTTGCTCAGCCCAGAAAACCTGAGTGTCATCTTTTCGTCTTCTGCTTTCCTGACTTCCCGCTTTTAATCAATCACCATGCCTTATGAATTCTACCCTTGGAAAATTCCTGGAGCTGCTGGCCACCACCACTCTCCTCCCCACTCCAGTTTCCTTATCAAATACTTCACTTGGATTTTTTAAAAGCAGCTCCTTATCTGGTCTCCTGGCCATAGTCTTGCTACCTTCTAATCCCTTAGCTGAGATGGATCAGGACCCCCCCACCCCCTGCACCACCTGTCCATTGCTCTCATCGTAACCTTCCAACCACTCAGGCCATCTCACAAGCCTTCAATGATGAGTTTGCTGCCTGCCTGATCGCTCCCTTCCTCACCACCACTCCCGATACTTTTCCCCAAGAAATGACTTTCTATTATGTATAGTGCACCCCCCCACCCCCCCGAGCCTCCAGTCTTCTTGTCTATAGACTAGTGGCTTTGCACAAAATATACTTCCTTCCCATATCTTCACCTGGCTGACAGTTAAGAAGGCTTTTTAGTGTCCCACCAAGTTTGGGGCAGATGCCCCTCCTCTGTCTTCCCATTACACTTGAGTCTCATTGTTATGGCCTCACAAGCAGCCTCCTCTGTCTTCCCATTACACTTGAGTCTCATTGTTATGGCCTCACAAGCAGCCTCCTCTGTCTTCCCATTACACTTGAGTCTCATTGTAATGCCTCACAAGCGGCCTCCTCTGTCTTCCCATTACACTTGAGTCTCATTGTAATGCCTCACAAGCGGCCTCCTCTGTCTTCCCATTACACTTGAGTCTCATTGTAATGCCTCACAAGCGGCTGTCTTCCCCTCAGTTCTGTCATCTCCTTCAGGGAAGAGACTGAATTGCTCATCGATGCAGTGTTGTGTGGCTTTTGTACCTGGCATCTAGCAAGCACTCGGTGAATTTTTGTTGAAAAACAAGGGTGAATGAAGGAAGAAATAGTGAATTTGAGAACAGGCACAACTTGCTCAAGGTCTCAGAATGACAACCTGGTAAGGCAGTAGCCAAGCTCTGCCTGAATGTAATGCTCCCGCCCCTTCTCACCCAGCACCTGCCCCTCTTTAAAAAATGGCACCAAAGGCCAGGGGCTGTCATTTCTGAGGGATGCACATTTCACTAGCAAAATGGTAGAAAGTTCTCCTGAAAAGTGAATAGAGGCAGGGCATTCCACATCAACTGATAAACGGGAAGTGCATCATTTCCAGAATTAAAACAAATGGTAAGGGGGATCAATGGTTTTGATATACTATAAAATGGGGCCACCAGTCAAGTAATCATAACACCTCCACCTTTAACCTCTGGAGGGTAGGAGGGGGTGTTTCTATATTCAAAGCACTTCTTAAGTCAGTGGTCAGCAAACTAGGGCCACATTCGTTCCCCATCCCTCCCCACAGATACTTGTTTTGACTCCATGACAGTTTTGGGGTTTTTTTGCCTTTTACCAAAATGTTGGCCACAAGGTAGGAATGTGTTTTGCATCTTTTTAATGGTTGGAAAAATCATCCAAAGAATGTATCATGAATGTGAAAATTATATACAGTTCTAAGGTCAGTGTCCATACATTGCGTTGTATTGGACTCGTTCTTAGAGGTATCTATGGCTGCTCTTGTGACACGGTGCCAAAGTTGAGCAGTTGAGGCAGAGACCAGATGGCCGACAAAGCCGACCACATTTACTACTGAGCCCTCTACAGAAAGTGGTTGCAAACCCCTGTTCTGAGTGGCTACTTTTGTTCATCCTTTCAAACGTGGGGTCAGGCAAGACCAAGACTGTTGGACGCACAAGTGAGAGAAAAAGAACTAGACGGTTTGCGAAGACACAACATGCCTCTGTTTCCTTCTGGCCCATCTGGCAGCCTCCTAACTGGTCCTCCTGTCTGCAGCCTGGTCACTGCCTCCGTCGCCCTTCTCCCTTTCTGAAAAAGGAAGTTTGCTCATGCTTCCCCCCAAGACTCCTCCTGTCTCAGGATGATGGCCAAACTCACTTAACCAGGACAGCCTGTGCCGTCCCATTGATGCTGGTCCATGGCCACCCACTCATGTGACATAGAACTGGGTTTCACAGGGTTTTTAATGGATGCTCTTTGGGATGCAGATGGCTGGGTTTTTCTTCAGAGGCTCCCTGGGGTGGACTCAAATGGACAAACTTTTGGTTAACAGCCCAGTATGTTAATCAGTGGTCCCACGTAGGCATCTGTCTTACTCTATACCATGGGAGCTACAGAATCCTAGGATTTGCTTGCTACTTCAGCTTTGCCTTTGACCAGACAGGCGTAGCTTCATCTGGGATACATTGGCAGGCTTGTTCCCCCTTCAAGTTCTGGGGCGTCCTCTTTCATTTTCAAAGACATGCACATGGTACCGCTTCCTTGACTTGGAAGATGTTCAATACCTTACTCCCCAATGCCATTCAACATGATTATTGTTACTCTCAAGCCTCAGGGCCTAAGTGAGCCAAGAAAGGGGACCCTAAATTAATTTAAGTTTCCCTTCTCTGTGAGTCCACGGATTCCTGAATTTACCTTTAGCACAGCCCTTATTATATTGCATTGATATAATGCATCAATTGTTTGGCTCTCCCATTCACTACAACTTGGTGAGGGCTTAGTATAAGCTAGGCATTGCACTAAGCCCTTTGTATGTATTAGCTCATTCGATTCCTGCATGAGACATGAAGCCAGTGGTCTTATTATTTTTTTTGGACTTGGGGAGATGCCCCTTAATACCTCCCTCCCCTTGGATCAAAGTTGTCCAAATCCATAGGAAATGTTCTTAACCTCTAGGGCCAGATATTAAGAGTAAGTTGACCCAGTAAATGTTTACTGAGAACTAAATGAATAAATAAAGCTCTGGTTCAGAAATTTCTACTTATTAGCTATGCCAAATGTGGAAAATTGCACACATACATTTTATTCCATTTCTCCATCTATAAATTAGAGATAATAATGTCTAATGTTTTATAAAGATTAAATGGAAAACACTTGTGGCTTAATTTTGTTGGCAGGGTCAGAGAAGATGCCTCCCATCATACCCTCAGGGCTATATTTCATGTCTACTTAGCAGTCCAGTGTGGATACCAGGCAGAGGAGCAAAGGGATGGCTGGATGGGGGCAGAGGAGGTGACGTTTTTCCAGCGGTGGAGCAGCAAAGGGGAAGTGATGGATCCCAGAGCACAATAAGGCCCAAAACAAACTCAAAACTCACTGTCATTGAGTTAATGTGGATTCATAGAGACCTTACAAGACAGGGTAGAACTGCTCCTGGGAGTTTCTGAGTCTGTAACTCTTTACAGGAGTAGACATCTCTAGCTTACTCCCTCGGAGTGGCTGGTGGTTTCAAACTGCTGACCTTTTACACCTTGTAACGACCCCATATGTGGGGTCCTTTGAGGCCACATATATTCTAAAACAACAAGGAACCCTGATGGTATTAAGTTACCATAGATTCGGACATTTATTTGTTGTTGCAGCAAAGCCTATCCTATCCTGGCTAATTTAGCAGGGTGAAAGTAGAGAACTCTTGTATTGTTCCCTAGCACTTGGTCCTCTACCAGATGGACTCTCTGATAGAGAACTCACGACCCCGTATTCACAATCTCAGTGCCCTGTTCAGCATATTTATGATTATTGGCCATCAGCGAAAACTTTGAGAACATGCACAACAGGTCCAAATGCAGAGTGCCTCAGACTTCCTTTTAGACTTTCCCAGTTCTAAAGCAATTGGTGTTGAGTGCAGACAGGTACTAATGGGTTAAAGATAGCACTGGAGCAGACAACCTTGATGATAAATTACTGTCTTAGTTTATCAGCTTCCGTATGTTCTGGAATAGTAGAGAATCGAAGACTCCCTGAGCCACCTCACCTTCTGCTCCCATATCCCAAGACTTAAGCTTAGACACTTGGCTGGAAAAGAGTCAAAGGTTTATCATACTCTAAGGATGTTGTTATCAATCATTACTAGAGATGGGTCATAGGAAGGCATTAATAAACAGAAGACTAGGAGCCCTAAGCGACCCATGGATGTTCATTCAGCTTTTCATATTGACAAGATTCAAGATGGTACCATAAAAATAATATGAGTTTTGGAGTCAGATCTGAGATATGACTTTGAAGGACATTCAACTCTTTGTTTAACCTTCCTGAGTGTATACACTTACTTCTCCCTATCTCATTATCTGACATATTGCATTTCCAATAGTTATAAAATCCATCTGTTTTGTACATTGACAATTTACATCTGGCAGGAATGAACCTGAGGTGCTAGGTGAGAATAACACTGGCTGTGATAGTTAACATTAACTGTCACCTTGGCTGGCCATGATTCTTAGTGAGTCGACAGTTATGTAATGATGCAATTTAGCACTTTTTTGTGTCTTAACGATTTGTTTAAATGATACTATTCTGTACCTATCCTTTTGAAGCAAGTACTTTTATCACCGATCACACATTTTATTCATTCAATCATATTAAAAAGAGTTGTGCAATTATCATCCCAATCAATTTCTGTACATTATCTTCCCGTATTCATTATTATTAGCTCCTCATTTCCCCCTAACCTCCTGGGCATGCTCATAGATAATTATTAAT